AGCATACTGCCCCGCGCTGAGAACATAAAGAGCAGTGCTACACCCTTTTTTCACTTGTGCCTTTCAGGTGAACGACAGCTACTGACCGACAAGAACAAAACCGACCCGGGAAACTTGTGCAAAAGCCTCGATCCTGTGTATCAATCCGTCAATCCGTGAATCCGTGAAAATAAATAAAATTAATAACTCTACTTTGGGGATGCAGTAGTAAACAGGTCAGGTGGAACCGACCCACTAAGATTTGTTCCCTTTAAAACACTTCGTCGTTGGCCCGGGTTAGCGAGTAAAAAATAATCCCATCATGTTTGTTCACGGGTCTCCCTATGGGTAGTTCTCACCTATAGATCGCGAAGATAGTCTGAAATGTTGTGACAACAGGGTTCGCACATGGGACTCGCGAATGACCGCTGTAAGCATGATCAAAATCAGACGACAGAGTAGAAGCACGTAATGGGGCTCAGTAATTGAACAATGGAATTGCATTTTCGAAACTTATGACGTGTTCCTGATGGACTAAAGCAACCGGGCAATTGGGTAGAGAGTACCAGCTCAAAAGTTTAAGCTTTATTTTGGCATCCCGGGGTCTCAGCGATGCCGGAAAAATATCCGAAAGACTTTTCAGCAAGAACGTGTGGCGTTTCGTACATTTATTTTATTTCCATTATAATACTAGGTATTTCATCAATTGCATAATCGTTTTTGTTCGAATACGAAAAACTACAAAAACGCTCACTTGTACAATTTCACAGATTACAAGCATGGACACGCGCTTCGACTCTCTCTTCTGATTTCGCTCGCCGTTGCAGCGGTCATTCGGGAATTTCATGTAAAACTCTGGCATCAAAACATTTCAGACTATCTTCGGAATCTGTTATATGTTGGAACTGTTCAGAAGAAGACTCCTGGACCACCATAATTGGATTACTGTTCATTCGCTGGACCTGGGCAACGATGGACTATTTTAAAGAGAACAACGTTTAGTGAGTCTGTTGTTGGGTAGCCAGACCACTACAAGCATGGTTGCTTCAGTGAACAGTGATATTTGTTGAGCTGCAAAAATAGCGATGTAGATTAGAACGGTTTTTTGTTTGAGCATGCGCACAATAAAATGCAACATTTTGGCAGAAAACGTTTTAGTCTACTTGAAAACTTTTTCAGCTGAGAGCATTGTGCGGATAAAGGGACCCGCACATAACCACTTTGTATTGCGTGAAATTGTACAAGAGTGCGTTTTTGTCGTTCTCCTTATTAAAACGAAAAGCGCTTATGCAATTGACAAAATGCGTAGTGTTATGGTGGAAGCAAAAGAAAGCTACAAAATAATACGACGCTGTCCTTGTGGATTCGGGATATGCAAGGGCTCTACTTCCGTAAGTGATGTCTTGCTGCCTATGCCTGCTTGACTGGTGGAATAAAGAAGTATGTGTTCAGGGATCTTGATAACTGCTCTCCCGAGTTAAAATCGCGAAAGCCGTATTCATTGCTACAGGATGAATCCTGCCAGGCTGGAAGAACGTAAGTTTTGCACATGCTAATGACGTATACAATTTTTTTCTTGAACAGTAAAGTGCTCCGTTATAGCCTCCAAAAATTCCAGGACGATGTCGTCGAACATCTAATACAATCTTGCCCATGCAAACTGCTAGCATACGGCTGGGGGTCCATGACGCCTTATCAAATGGCCACATCGAACCTATATCGGTCATAATAATAATAAACCTGGCGCCCGTCCACCTATGCGGGGAAAAGTCGACGTTCCAAATTGTGACAAAAAAATGAATTTTATTGGTCGTTTCGATCAGTACATATGTCACAGCCTTATTGGTGCACAGTGGTCAGTGAGCCACTGACGTCCTGGAATGAGAGCGAGATACAAGTTGGGTTATCGAAATGCCACCATGAGTCAGTCAGCTGTCAAGCGGGGACAATATTTACCCTACATATATATAAAATCCCATGTGGACATGTTTACACAACGCCATCTTCAACAACTGGTTCGCATTGCGCGGTTCCTTGTATCTTGTTGCACGCTATGGCCCTGAAAAACTACGAGATGTGCATGAAACGCATTCAGTCTCATTACCAGACAAAGAGTCTGAAGCTGATGAACCATGCATGAGTCACATGAAATAATCTTCATCTCTTTACTCTACCTGGCGCTCTACAGTGTTAGTCGCAGTAGCAGGATATTCATTCACGACTGTCGATTAGCTCTCCCGCGGACCTGGAAACGCAGACACACACAGACTTCCGGGATACACTATGCCGGAATTCTCTGCTTCGGTCGAGATCAACATCTTTACGAAACGGTAAGCAGGCCCACCTTCGCGTTTTACAAGCGGGCCAGGAGCTGAGAATAAAAAATAAACCAGGCTTCTGCAGACTCACCTTTGGAACAAGCCTGAAGAGCACCACCGCAGAGCGAGCAATGTTCACTATCACGACAGTCGATGTCATGTGACACGTGATCCGTATCGGCGATCACTGCCACTAGCCGGTTAGTCACAAAGCACACGAAACCCACGTTCTTCTCCCTAGAACCCCATCTGAGTTGAGGTGCATTATCCTCGACCGCCGGCAGACCGTCAGTTCACGGAATCATGGATCCGCGGATCGATACACAGAAGCGAGTGCTTTGTCCAGGATTCCCGTGCCTCTTTTTTTATTCGGTCTGTGGCTGCCGTTCGCCCCAAAAGGCACAAGTGAGAAAGTAGTACAACACTTCACTGTATATTCTATGCGCGGGATATTATGCTTGCCAGCGCGAGGATTCGCATTGCTTTGTCCTTCCCGTGCCTCTTTTTTTATTCGGTCTGTGGCTGCCGTTCGCCCCAAAAGGCACAAGTGAGAAAGTAGTACAACACTTCCTTCACTATTCTATGCGCGGGATATTATGCTTGCCAGCGCGAGGATTCGCATTAATAAATGTCTAATAGTTCTTTAAATTGGGTTTGAGAAGGAGCGTATACAACCGTCGGAGGAAGGTCATTCCACGCAGCTACTACCCTAAATGAGAAAAAAAATTGTCTAATGAATGTGTGAACCATTCTCTGGCGGCCCGCTGGACACGCCCAATGAGGGTGACGTCTTTCTTACGTCCTGAGTAGACAACTTGGTTGGCGTACTCCAGGGACGGTCTGACGCAGGCCCCATAGATTATTTGGAAGTCCACGCGAGTAATACGGGAGAAGATGTTTCGGATCATCCGTAAAATGGCGAATGCCTTTTGGGCCGATTTCCCATGGTGTAGTGAGAAGGACAAATTTGAGGAGACCCAGATGCCGAAATCTTTTTTGGCATTTATCCTCATGATGTTTTCTGGTCCTCTTTTCACCATGCATAACAAAGTCATTCACTGAATCCCCTCCAAACGACACATGGACGCACTTTTCATCCTTCAGAGGAAGGTCCCAGACCAACAACCACTGCTTGGCAGCGTCTACATCCATTTGGAGGGCACTGGCATTGGAACTCCAGGATTTCAAGTCGTCCGCAAAAAGTAAACATGGACTCGCGAGAATGTCTGGGAGGTCGTTGACGTAGATCAGAAACAGGAG